AACTACCAGCCATGCTAGGCCTAGTTTTTGTATACTTGATTCTTACTGTGAGGCTGGTTTTTTGCCCTAACTACCAGCCATGCTAGGCCTAGTTTTTGTATACTTGATACTTACTGTGAGGCTGGTTTTTTGCCCTAACTACCAGCCATGATAGGCCTAGTTTTTGTATACTTGATACTTATTGTGAGGCTGGTTTTTTGCCCTACCTACCAGCTATGCTAGGCCTAGTTTTTGTATACTGGATACTTACTGTGAGGCTGTTTTTTGCCCTAACAACCAGCCATGCTAGGCCTAGTTTTTGTATACTTGATACTTACTGTGAGGCTGGTTTTTCTATTGCAACAAAAATGTTGTTAGACTTCATCATGACTAAACCTAATTGTGCAACCTTAGTGGCTCAGCAGTAAGTCTGAGGGCATATAACACTAAAAATTATATTTCGATTCCCGCGATGGGCACAGCAAAACTAGTCCATTTTGTAGCTCTGTGCTTAATAGCAAACAAACAAATGGTGTATTTTGGATTGAGACATTGGTGATTCATCATAATATTGTTAAGTATCGCTATTACTGCACTATGATCTTACTACTATGGTGACTAGAACCTTCAATTACTACTATGTTTTACAGGATATCCCGTTAGACGATATTCTTGATCGGTTGAAAAACAGCCTGATAATTCAAAATGAAGCATTATTTCCTAATAAAAGTGAGTTTATTCACAAGTTATTGTTCACTCACGTAAAGTCATTAACACTATTGCTAAAAGTGGTTTGTGATACACGTAAATAAGTTCTAAGAAATAATTAACAAAACCTACAAAGAGAGAGGGATGTTAGAAGTAAAACTTAGATAAGTTTTGATTAAGTTCTAGATATAAATGTAAGTAAAACAAATGACAGTTAGTTTTCAGTAAACTGTTAATAGAAAAAGGGAAACACTGATTCAGTCTCCAACATTTTTCACTGTTTCATTGTATGGAATTTCATGTAGTCAATAGACGAGCTGAAAGTCAGTCAAATCTGACTCAGTTTTATTCTTTATCATAGAAGCTGTACAACACGTAGAAAAGTTTTGAGTTTAAACTATTAACTAATAATATGGATAGAGTCTGAAAATGTGTAAAAAGACTTTGGTTTGGAAGAGGTTAGATTAATTAAGTATATAATTGATTGTTTAAATAGTGGGAGAAGCAATCTTTAAAGTCCAACGAAGCCTAATAGATTTTAGGCCTAGCTAGATTATTTTATAAAGCATGTAATATTTTAACTATCTACTTATAAACAACGTGTTTGTGCGGGTAATGGAGTTTTAGGCCACGGGCAGCGAAGATTAAAAATAATATTATTCAAAGCACTAAGAATAAATATGAAGTCCAATCTATCATCGGATATATGACTTCTAGAATACAACCATAACTCAGTGACAAGTGTTGAATGGAGTGATAGATTCCTGCTTCTATGCTCCAGTATTCATAAGAATAAACTTATTGCTCTTCAAACCCTATATAGGCCTTAGTATAGGATCTCTATGGTGAGTGAAACAGCACGCTTATACTGTTCAAGACATTTATAACTAAACTGTAGGAGTTGTTTTGCATCAGTGACTGATGTACGGGGAGCATCATTAAGTTTCCCAAGGATGATATATATATATATTAATTATTTTTTGCGATTTCCTTTTAGGGGTAAAATATGCACAAGTAAAAAAATTACAGACTACCCCCCCCCCCCAAAAAAAAAAGAAACTACTAATAAATTTAGTGGAAATTAGAAACAAGATGTACATATATTGCTGAAAAAATCTAGGAGACTTAGAGTTAAGCTAACAAAATTCAGCGTTATAGCAGATCTAGTTATCGTGGTTTGATTTATATTCTCTTCCTTACTGTGGTACGTCTTGTTTATTACCCATCCTCCATTGCGGCAAATGTTTATTTCCTTTATGCAGTTCCTTTTTTATATATTTGATGTAACGTACAGAGGGTTGAGTTCGTTATATTAAAACAGTTTTGGAGTCTCACCACGTCATTACGGTCCATGTTGCCACGTCTGGTCATGTTATATCCGACGACCGTGCATTTTGGCAATAGCACTGCAGCATAGTTTCTATAGCAAAAGTCTCCTTTGCAAGACACCCATTTCGAAAGTACCTCACTCCTCTGTGCATGCTTTCCATATTCCATCTAGTATAGGAAGAATACCCGTTTCATACTTCTGTTGCTTGAGGTGTGCGAGTGCTGAATGGATATCTCGTGGAAACAAATCGTGTACACGTAAGTTGTGTGTTTTTACCAGACGGAAATTCTTCGTGATTATGTACATACTGTTGCCTGGAGCACGTTGACGGCTTTTATTACCGACCTTTGTTTATTGTTTATTTGAAGTTAAGCACAAAGCTACACAATGGGCTGTCTGTGCTCTACCCGCCACGGGTATCGAAACCCGGTTTCTAGCGTTGTAAGTCCGTGGACTTACCGCTGTGCCACTGGGAGGTTACTGACCTTTGTGTTCTTGAATTCTCGCTGTTAGAAGACGCCTTACTTTGCTTGTCACAGGTGGGATACGACTTGTTGTAGGTCTCTTTCTGGATGGTCCTGGTGCCCCAAGTGACACTAAGTACGAGGGATATATATATTCTAGTTTTGGAAATTATAAATCCTCAATCTGAACATATATTCCCGATCTGAGTATATGAATATTTTGTGTCCAATAACAGTTGCTACATATCCTTTCCAAAAGCGATCAGTTTTCAATGGCATCACACTACCTATGAAACGCCAGACAGTGTCAAAATGTAGTTGTGATACATCTCGTTCTACCGTGATTTGACATGGGCCGTGGTTGTCACGTGACTAGTTGTTTTTAATGCAACATACTCAACCCTATAGAATTTCCCAGCTCACTGTAACAGTAAATATAAACTCTTTTTATTATATATTTTGTTACAATGTAGGTTTCCCCAACTTATACATACATTAAATACGAATTTTTTGAATAATATACTTTGTTTAATTAAATTAACTCTGAATACATTTTCTCATTACAGATTGGGAGACGGAACTAAGGCGAGAACTCCAGGAAACCTATTATTCCGTGTAAAATGTTGTTTTTTGTCTTTTGAATATTCTGTTCTTATGTTCATTTTGATTAATGAAGGTGTCCGTAATGAATTTTCTACTGATCAGCACGTTCACCACTACACGTTTTGTTATTCTCTTGAAGACTGTATTCATAAAACCTATTTGTTGTTTATTCAGTCATGGCTGAGGTGAAAGATTTTTTTTTTCATCTGCCACAGTCTCTTTAAAATGGTTTTGTATTTCGGTTTGTTTCTGTTGCGGAAAACCTTTTTTTTTCTTTCATAAAACATGTAAAGGTGATAAGAAAATGCTTAATGGAGTCGGTGTATTGAGCTGATTTTGCAGCTATGATACCACTGTATTTCCAAACACAGGCATTCAAATACTATTATTGTATTTTAGGGTTACGCTTATCATGATTTTTTTATGGCTTGGTAGAATTTATGGAACTGTATAAAGAAAGCAGCGTATTTCCAACATGGAGAACTGTCTTACAGCAGCTTGACGGACTTCTTGGAAAGCTTTCAACACCAACAAAACTCAAAATGTACCTGTATGTTCATAGAGTTACTAGTAAAGAAGAGTTAACAAAAATACAGAGATTAAAAAACACAACGAACGTTTATTATGATGGCTTGTTTGGAGGTAGCTAGGCTTAACAAAGTAAACAAAAATACAGAGGAAAAACACAAGGAACGTTAATTATGATGGCTTGTTTGGAGGTAGCTAGGCTTAACAAAGTAAACAAAAATACAGAGGAAAAACACAAGGAACGTTTATTATGATGGCTTGTTTGGAGGTAGCTAGGCTTAACAAAGTAAACAAAAATACAGAGATTAAAAAACACAACGAACGTTTATTATGATGGCTTGTTTGGAGGTAGCTAGGCTTAACTTTGAGTTACGCACGAGGGTGGGGCACTGTTCTTCCTGCTGGTGGGGGTCAGAGGAGCTTCTTCGGAGATTTGTTTTGTTGTTTGTTTTTTAATTTCTCGCAAAGCTACACGAGGGCTATCTACGCTAGCCGTCTTTTACCAAAGAATAGTGGGATTGACCGTAACATTATAACGCCCCAACGGCTGAAAGGGCGAGCATAGTTGGTTGGACGGGGATTCGAAACCGCGAACTGCAGATTGCGAGTCGAGCACCCTAACCACCAGGCCATGCCGGGCCCTTCCCCGGAGAAAATTTTTGAAATTTAAATCTGAAATGGTGCATTCTGATATAAAAAAATAGGTGTATAATCTACAAAAAAAGTAATCATACAGACGACATAAAGTATTGGAAAAATTAAAATTTTGATCATTGGAATTTTTTTCTAAATTTTGTTGGGAGAAAGTCAGATTAAGATTTTATATCAAAGAATATTCGTATTCAGTGTCATTGCAGGGTCGTACGAACCTCTGGCTTTGAGCTTAATCAAGATGTAAGTATTTTCTGGTATATACACTTTAAACAGTGACTTTCAAGGCGAATAATATATATGATTTTAATCAGGAAAATTTCTTTGCGGAAGAAACCGATTTAGGACCAGATATTGGAATCTCTAGCATTACGAAAAAAAAACAAAAACAAATGTGGTAGCAAGATGAAGTGGGGGGGGGGGCTGTTTGACGTGTGCCTTGGAAAACTTCTGCAGCCTGCTGGATTAAATGCTGTTTGTTAAACTTGATTTAGCTAACGTTCACGACGTTTAAAAGAGGTCCAGGTTTCTCCGTATGTCGCTCTCATGAAGAAATTTTCAATTGACTGAAACCCGATTTCTATCAGAACCGATTACCTTAGTTTCGAAAAGCGCACGTGCGTGCCAAGTTTCACGCAATCGAGTTTCAGATATTTGATACATCTTCCTCTGGTGCCCCAACCCGGCTAGTGCTCTAAAGATAAGTAAACTTTACTCCCACGTGGGTTTCCTAAGTGTTAGATAAGTTGAGATATCCTTTTAAGGTTATATTATACATATACTGTATATATATATATATATATGGAACATTTGAATTACTGGTATGCGGCACCATCTGTTGGCCACGAGCTTAATTTACCGCCCCCCCCCCCCACAGTGGCTCAGCGTTAATTGTGAAGGCATATAACGCTAAAAATCGGGTTTCGATACCCGTGGTTGGCAGAGCGCAGATAATCCATTATGTAACTATGCGCTTAACAACAAACAAACAAACTGGTTTTATAACGCTGTACTCTAAAGATCTGATCTGTGGATAACAATTAGACACTTCGTGACATACAATATAATAATTACGTGTCATATAAAGAGGCAAAACTGTTTACCTATCGCTAAATATTTTGAACATAGCATTCTTTAACACTCAAAGCATATTTCACTGATGTGTTCTGAGGTTAATAAAATGTTCGTTTCACACACACTTTCTACCTGAGTATTCGTGTTCTGAGGTTAATAAGATGTTCGTTTCACACACACTTTCTACCTGAGTATTCGTGTTCTGAGGTTAATAAAATGTTCATTTCACACACACTTTCTACCTGAGTATTCGTGTTCTGAGGTTAA